CCTCTTGAATTGGATGAGGATGAAGAAAAAGTTACTGTAGGGCAAGTGGCTGAGCTTGTTGATAGAGCTGACATTGTTGAGAAGCAGCTTAAGTCAGCCACGGAACAGATGCAGAAACTTGAGAGGAAGGTACAAGGTCTGGAAGGCAGTCTCAAAATGCTGAAGCTGGAGTTCCAGAGGGATCTTAAGAGCCTTCAAGACAAGATGGAGGAGTATGTGAAGCAGAACATTGAAGATAACAAGAAAATTCTTGATCTCCTTCAAACTTGACCAAGACCAGCCTCACCTACCTCAATTCTCTTAGCCTAACTCTAGCCTAGCCATTTCTATGTTTTTCTACTTCAGTCATGAACTTGTTTAGTTTCTGTTTAAGTTTTTAGAACACTTTATTTTGGCTTGTAATATTTTAATTGTTCAGCAGGATGATAATCTTTTGATTTTAATGAACACTTTTGGAACTTGGAAGAAACATGTGTGTTTGTGTATATTATGAAAACTTGTACAGGGAAGTGAAATTAATCTAAAGGAAGTTAGCAACGCTACCTTCAGTTTCCCACACTTGATGAATTGTTTGAGGGGCTGTGGCTAGATGCTTAATAACTTAAAAAAGCAGGACTTTTTGATGATGCCAAAAGGGTGAAAAGAATAAGCAAACTTGAAAGTTGAAGTTGTTCTGGGTTCCAGTTGAGAAAGTATAAGAACTTTCTTCTGATATAGATGCCGGTATCTTAGTTCTGTTTTGTTTCTGTTTAGTTTTGTTTTTGTTTATTTCTTTTTTTCTGTTTTTCTTATTTGTGTGTTTTTGTTTATGTGTGTTTGCTTTCTGTCAAAAATTAAAAATCCAAAAATACACCCTTCTATTTGTTTTAACTTTTCAAAAGAGTTTTCTTAAGCTTGTCATCATCAAAAAGGGGGAAATTGTTGAAGCTTAAAGGTTTTGATGATGATGAACTTAAACTAAAGCAAACTCAACTAAAAAAGGTTTATAAGTGTTTGACTAGTACAGGTGAAGTTGTCCTTGGAGCTGGAAGAGTTTCTTGAACTATGAAAACATGAAGAGACCTTTATTGAAAAGTCAAACAATATAGAAGAAGAGTTCTCTAACAAGAACTAAGCTCCTTAACAGGAATGTTCCCTAACAGGAACTTGGAAGATGTAAGTTGAAGACAGTAAGTTCCAGAAGGAACTTAGTATGCGAAGTTCAAGTTGAGGACTGGAGATCAAGTGACAGCATGAACTCGTTCCTGGTCTGCGTGAAGCCCAAGTAATTCAAGTTTACAGAAACGCGGCACAACAATAGTAATTTAGTTAAGATTATATTCTAGATTTATTGTTAAATATATTAAGTAGATCTACATGAAATCTATTAGAAGCGTGATAAGATAAATTGGAAAATATGATAAAATTTGAAAAGATAAAAAGATAGATTTTAGAAAAGGATTTTATTTAAATTTGTTTCTTAAAATCAGTTTTGTTAAAAAGATATTATTAGTTTTAATTATATCTTTTTTTAATTTTCCGGAAAAAGATTTTTACAAAATATGTTTTACTTAAACCGTGTTCTTGAGATAAGGAAAGTTAATTTTTATCTTTTTGAAAACCCTACTTTCTATACGAGTTATACTTGTATAAATAGTAGAGAAATGATCTCATTAGGTTTTTGGGTGAGTTTTTGTGTGAAGAAACCTTTGACCTTAATTCGTGTAAGTTTGCCAAGCTTAATCTTGTCATATTAGTTTCGGATTTCGTGCATTGCTTGCCTAACATATTCTAGGTAGGGGTGAGCATGGGACGGGTACCCGTACTGATAGTATTAACGGTTCGGGTACCCGATAACCAAAATTCCTAAAAGTGATATCCATAACCCGAATTGATAAGTTCGGGTACCCGGACTTCGGGTACTCGGATTTTCGGATCAGTTATCGGGTACCCAATAAGATATCCAATAATGATAATTAAACTTAATTATATAGTTATTATAACATAATTTACCACTAATTAACAACAATATCAAATGATTTTGACCAAATTATTAATAATATTACTAATAATTGATATTATAAAGTAATAATAAAGTAAAGTAAGAGTTACTAATCATTGATATTATTAATAATATTACTAATCATTTATATTATTAAGTAATTATAAGCAAAAAAATACTTATCGGAACGGATCGGGTAACCTTTAATTTTAAAATGATACCCAATAACCATACCCGATAACAAATTATCGGAACGGGTACCCGAACCGTTACGGTTATTGGATCAGGTACCCTAATTTTTGGAATGGTTAAGGATCGATTTTTCGGGTTTTCTGTTTTTCGGGTAGTTTTGCTCAGCCCTAATTTTAGGTGTTATATTTTCTGTAATTGGTTAGGTTATTGGGTGTAAGTGTATGAAAACTATATTGCATACAGGAGAGATAGCTTTGTGTACAAAGGCTGTGATTGTACTGTGAGAGTACGAGTGAATTTAAGTCAGGGGACTTGAATTGGGTAGGATAGAGTCCTACTGTGTAGCAAGTTCTAGTTGGAACTTGTGAGCAAAGGTCTGTCTTATAATAGGTTTGTAACTTGGTGTGTGCCCTATTATAGTGGATTGGTTTTTGTGTTGAAATTCCTTAGAAGGGTCGAGATTTTACTTCTAGTTGAGCCCTGGAAGGTTTCCTCGTAAAATCCTGTGTGCTTTGCTAAGTTCCTTTTATATTTTGTTTGTAATTTGCAAAAGTAGTCACTGGGAACTCACCTACTATTTACCCCCCTCTTGTAGTGTTTGTTTCAACTAACAATTATTTTTTTTTTTTTTTTTTTTTTTTTTTTTTTTTTTTTGCAATTTATTGGGTTTTAGTTTCCAAGTAATTTCTTTAATTCTCCTTCATTCCCGTGATTTTCTACCAAAGGGACAATCAAATAGGGATGGAGGGAGTATATTTGTATAGGATCAAGTTTTTATACTTCTTAGGGTCTGTTCTCATTGAGTGAAATGAGTTGAACTGAACTGAACTGAACTTATTAAAGCTGAACTAAACCGAATATTTTATGAGAGAAAGAAATTAGTTGCTAAACTGAACTGAACTGAACTTATTAGAGCTGAACTGAACTGAACTGAACTGAACTTATTAGAGTTGAACTAACCTGAACTGAAAATAATTTGATGAGAACAGGGTCTTAATAAATATAATTACAAATATTCATGGTCAAAGTTGTGCATCGGTATATATAGGTAAAACTTCTATATCTTTGACGATGGATTCTCATTAATTTATAAGTGATAATATATTTATGTAAGATCTTGTTAGAATTGTGTCACATTATATTTTATTAATATCAAGTTTCTATTATTTTTATGTGTTTAGAAATGGATATATATTCATTTGAAGACGTGTCTTGAAGACCATAAAAAGTCAAATAGGACAAAAAAAAAGGAAAGTTGTTATTAAAAAAGTATAATACATATTTTGACAGAGAGGAAGTATAATTTAAAACATATATCTTGAGCAAGCGAGGAGTGTGTTTAATTTGCGGCTAAGGCCAATTTACCAGATAGGTAAATATAAAGACCTCTAGTGATATTTCAGTAAAAAAAATAACTCCGGTGATAATCTGGAAAAAAAATTAATCACATGTGACATTTAGACCAAAATATCTATTTTTTTCCACAAAGTCATCAAATTTTCTAATTCAATTCATTATTGTAATTTTTAAAAATTATTTTTCCCATTTTAAAATTTAAATTAATATGTCATCTCCTTTTATTTTGTGAAGTCCTGATATCAAATTAATTTCCAACCCCTTTCTAAGAAAATCGATAATAAGGGGTAGGAAAAATACGTTAAAAATAATATTTAATCAATAATTTTTATTCAAATTGTTAATTCCGAAAAAGGGGTTGGGAAATTAGGTAAGAAAACCATGAAAAAGAACTAAATTAAGCATTTGCGAGTAGTTTGTCGGAAATTTTTGTATATTAAAGGTTAATTGTCGCCTGAGATGATTTTTTTACACCAAATTGTTGCTTAGAGTTAGTTTTTTTTTTTCACTAAAGTGTTGCCGGAGCTATTCTATTTACCAAATGTTCTCTAGGCGTTTTTTTTTATTTACTAATTTGGACAATTGGCTATGTGGCTAACGACACCATGTAACCACTAGTAAAAGAATAAAATAACCCCTATGATATTGACCGAGTAACCCTATAACATTGACGAAATAACCTATAATATTGAACAAGTAACCCTTATAATACTAACAAAGAAACCCAGGATAACCAGCCAAATATAAAAGTTGGTAAGCTTGAGTGACCTTATTCTCGGTTCAATTGGCTCTATTCATGGTAGATTATCAGTCGATTTCTCACCTTTGATTTCTAACAACTCCATCTAATACCAAAGTACCCTCAACAAGTCAAAAGTCATGATAATATCAGTGCCAATTGCAATCGAGAGTGCGTGTGGTTAACATTAAAAAACAACTTGATTGCGATTCTTTATGGAAAAGAAAAAAAAAATAAAGGAGTGTGAAAAAAAGGAAATATTGTAACAAATTCATACCATCGATCGCCTTGGAAAGTGGGTAGATGGTAGGCGAGGTGCTCGTGTCCTATTCATAGAAAATAGAATTGTATAATAGAAACACACAAGTATCTATGAAAGGAAAACCAAATGAAATCTAGTACTCTTTTCGTTCCTTAGATTCCTACTTCAAGCCTTTATTCCTCATATAATAAAATGAATTAAAAATTTAATTTAGAGATAGAAGAAGGAGTATATCATTAAAGAAAAATTCAAATTTATCACCTCAATAAATTTAAAATGCAAATTTAATGCAAACTTCAAATTAAATTGCTTAACGTATTGCTATTTACGTATAAAATCACTTTTAAGTTATCGATTTTACCCAAGAAATACTCTAAAATAATCTATTCCGTATTATGTACGGAGTACTTAACATGTTTTGTTATCAAGGAGTTAAATTGGATCTTATTCGAGATCATTACCTTATGTCAACTGCTGACTATCATTTTAAAGTTATTTTTTGGTAATGTTTCTCATACAGACAGTTATACTAAGCATATGTTTTGTTTTATTACGTCAATAGTCCAAATTTGTAGGCTGAACTACAATTTAATTTATTCATATAAAGAATGGTATATATACTATATACAAGTCTACCTTGGCCTATCTGATACTTGTATTATTTGATCAAAAAGAAAAAGTAGAGAGAGAAAAGGAGAGAGAGAGAGAGAGAGAGAAATGGGAACATATATTGTTGAAACACAAGTAGTTCCGGAAGAGAACACAATTGTTAACCAAGAATCTAATCATGAGAGAAAGGAGGAGCTTGATGCTGGTGCACTTTTTGTTCTCCAATCTAAAGGTATGTAAATTTTCAGTCTTCTTTATGGATCAACTGTATTTAGTGGCGGATCTTGAATTTTTTTTTTTTTTTCATAGGGAACAATTGTTATTGCAACATCCATTTCCGAGGTTGCACCTACTTAAGACATTACAAACTAATAATGTAGTTTTGAGTATCAAAATTGTTGTAAAACACCAACTTATATATCATATGTATATGTAGTGCATTCTTGCAAAACAAATTGTCTAGCGTGGGAAAATTTTGTTGTTTGAGTAAGGTTTGCATATACTAATCGTAAGTATATATAATAACTATAATAATGTATGTGATTATTAATTATTATCACGTAGCTAGCTAGGATGATGATATTATGTGGCAGTAGTTTGAAGGTGCTACCAAATTCATTATATTTGGTACATAATTTTGTTTTCTTATAGTAATTTTTTTTTTTTTTTTTTGAAAAGTTTTTCCTAAAGTGATTTTGGTTGGAAGGAAAAGGAGGAACAAACTACCACTGTTATATTCTTTTTAGTTTTGGACTTTTGGTAGACTACCAATTTGCAATAGCATACCTCTAATTATATTGAAATTTACATAATACATCAGGTTTACCATGAGCATGGTACACCCTGCTCTAAACGCTTGATTTTACATCAAATTAATATTTAATCTGCCAACTTTACACATTATAAAAAAATAAATAAATTAAATAAATAAAAAAATTATCAACTCCACAATTAATGGGATCATGCATGATCATCTCCTTTTTGCTGAACTTCCATATTAATTATTACTTCTTGTTATTTTTTTTTCTTTTTTTTAACAATATATGAATGCGGGCGGAAGATCCATAATATTAATAGGAAAAAGATATATGCAGCCAAGGGCTGCATATAAGAAGCTAAAAATGAAAAGGAAAGACAATAAATAACCATTTATTACACCGATTTACTCGTGAATTGTCGATAAATTCCCAACTTAATACTAAAAAAGGAAGTATATTAAATACTTATATGCAGCCCTAAGGGCTGCATATAACATTACCCTTTCAAAAACTTACTAAATTTATATACCAGAATACAAAAAAAAAAAAAAATTTAATTAAAGAAAGACGATTATTGGATCTATTACTATATTATACGAAGTATTCTGTATTATATAGAATGCACTCGTATATATATTATATATTGTATAAAATACAGTTGTTGTATATGTAATGACTAATGAGTGATTAAATTGTGACGACAGGGTCATGGGTGCACTGTGGGTACCATCTAACAACATCGATAGTAGCACCGGCACTACTGAGTTTACCGTATGCTTTTAAATTTCTTGGATGGGCTGGAGGAATTATATGCCTCATTTTAGGAGCAATGGTCACATTTTACTCCTATAATTTGCTATCGTTGGTACTTGAACACCATGCTCAATTAGGTCGCCGCCATCTTCGGTTCCGAGACATGGCACATGATATATTAGGTATGTTCTTATTTATGGTATACAAATCCTCAATATTTAATACGCAGTATTAGACAAAGAACACATTAGTTTATTAATTAGAGTTTTAGAATTAGTTATATAGATTAATGTTTGTGTAAATATAATAGTCAATAAAATAATGATCAAGTATATCATCATGTTGACTTGTTGCTGGAGCAAGTTTTTTTTTTTCAATGTAAATCATAATTAAAGAAAACAACTAATGACTTGACCACGTTGAATCTCTTGTTATTTCAATAATATCTTGCCAAACTTGAAAGACGAAAAATACTTAATCTAATCATTTTCTTAACTTCAAAAGATTAAATGATGTTATAATTATTTGCTTTCATGTATGGTTCGTAAAAACACATTGACCATGTACACCAATTATTGCCTTTTTTCATAAAAAAACACATATTACACTACGTAAGTACGTATTATTATATTTTAGTACTTTATTGTTAGCGTATGATAGAGACATTATTGGATTTTATCATGACTTACAAAATATTCAATTCAACTTATTTAGATATGATAAATTTGGCATCAAGGGATTAATAACTAAATAAATTTTTTAACATTATTGGTAGGTCCAAGATGGGGGCGATATATTGTGGGTCCAGTTCAATTTGCAGTGTGCTATGGTGCAGTTGTTGGAGCTTGTCTTATAGGTGGTCAGTGTATAAAGGTCATTTTTTCTTATTTCAGACAAAATATATTCAAATTATATTACACAATGATTTAGTCATGTATACTAATAACTTAGTGATGATGCAACTTATTTCTCAGGCTATCTACTTGTTGTTCAATCCGAATGGTACAATGAAGCTCTATGAATTCATAATAATATTCGGAGGACTAATGCTAATCCTAGCTCAGATGCCCTCATTTCACTCTCTACGCCATATTAACTTGATTTCTCTACTCCTATGCCTTGGCTATAGTGCCGCTGCTACTGTTGGCTCCGTCTATATTGGTAATCCAAGCCTTTTCTTCTTGATGAAAATAAGTAAACCCATGATTGATTTTTGCACTTCCCCACTTCATATAAACCTTGCTTGTTTTACATCATTTTGTTTTATTTATGTCGCATATTTTCACTGATATGTATTTCGTACTTATATTATCATCAATGTATATCCGGATTGTTCTTAATGTATATTTTTAAAATGTCGAATTTTTGTGATAAATAATTAAAGAGATTAATGACCAAATTTATATTTTAGCAAACTTGTCCTACTAAAACTTTATGTAAGGTATTATAGTGGCAATGAGCTAGATTGTGTATGTCTTTCAATTCACATGCCCACGATTACACACACACACAAACAAACAAAATAAAAAAAATAAAAAAATAAAGTGTTCAAGAATTTTATGTCAATGACCAATCTACATAAATGCCCAAATTTTATGTATTTTATGTCAATGACCAATCTACATAAATGCCCAAATTTTATGTATTAAAAAAAAAGTTACACGGCAATGCATCATAGTTGTAAAAGTAACATGATCCTGCCTCACACCAGGCCACAACCTTTAATTTTTTTTTTTTTTTTTTGTTGACATCAAGGCCACAACCTATCATACAGTACACTATCTAGGTAGAAAATTTAGCATGCATGTGATCAACCATGATATTACACTAGAAACAATTGAATCATATACTACCTTTAAATCATATTGCTTTTGAAAAGTATCCTAAAGTTGTCAATGGAAATGAATAATGTGTTGCATTGTGTCATGCAGGACATAAATCAAAAGGACCAGAGAAAGACTACTCACTAGTTGGCAACTCTGAGGATCGGTTATTTGGTGTATTTAATGCAATTGCGATTATTGCAACAACTTTTGGGAATGGAATTATTCCTGAAATTCAGGTTATTTAGATGTCATATCTTCTTAAAATCTTAAATTTTTGGATAGTCCTTAATTCAATTATATAATTATGTTGCTAATTGCTTATGAAATTTATGACACAATATTGTTAGGCAACGCTAGCACCACCAGTAAAAGGGAAGATGTTCAAGGGACTATCCGTGTGTTACAGTGTAGTTTCAATGACATTCTTTAGTGTCGCGGTGTCAGGTTACTGGGCATTTGGGAACCAAGCTGAAGGCCAGATATTAAGCAACTTTGTTGTGAATGGAAATCCTTTTCTACCTAAATGGTTCATTTTTATGACCAATGCCTTTGTCATCCTTCAAATTTCTGCTGTTGGTGTGGTACGTAACAACTTTACTTTTTCTTGCCTGGCACATTGATTTTCACACTGAAAGTTATGCCCTTAAGAAACCACTGCATAACAAGTTAAAAATACACTAATTAAAATGCCTTGATCTTTGATCTCACGATATAGAGTTTATAACTTATTAATTGTGAGATCAGTGTTCGTTTGAAATATAATAATCATAATAGTTTAATGATTATGTAGCTCATAATATGTAATATGTAACGCAATTCAATTTTTTGGCGCAGATATACCTGCAACCTACAAATGAAGTATTAGAGGGAGTATTGGCAGATCCGAAAAGTGGTCAATTCTCTCTAAGAAATGTGATCCCAAGGGTGATATCGCGGTCTCTCTCAGTCGCCATAGCAACAATAATATCAGCAATGCTCCCATTTTTTGGAGACATAAATGGAGTTATTGGAGCATTTGGCTTCCTTCCTCTAGACTTTGTTCTACCTGTCATTTTATTCAACCTTACATTCAAGCCTTCCAAACGTACTTTCATATTTTGGTTGAATCTAAGCATTGCTGTTGTTTTCTCCATATTAGGGGTCATTGGATCAGTTGCTGCCGTAAGGCAAATCATTCTTGATGCCAAATCTTATAAATTGTTTGCCAATGTATGAAATTTTCACTGCATTGGTGAGGCTGGAGTTCATATTTTGGGCTTTTTTGGACTTGAAAGAGGATGTCGTTTTTTCCTTAGATTTAGAATATGTAAAATGTAAATTGTTTACATAAATATTTTTTGGGGGAGTTTTTTTTTTTTTTTTTTTTTTTTTTTTTTTTAAATTATTAAGGTTTAGGTGACCAAAAGTATTAATATATGTAGCTGCAAATTGCAATGTTGCAGCATTGTAACCAAATACCAATGCAAATCAAGGAGCAAAACAAAATCACAAAATTCCATTAATTGAGAACATTGAGCTTCTCGTTGAGACATGCTATATTTTCCACAAGGACTTAAGGTGTACTTTTTTTTTTATTATTATTTTTTTAATAGTAAATCTGTTCATTTCTAAGGAAAAATTTACAATAATAATTCCACATTTTTATAAGTTTTCTCATAATAGTCTCATCTTTCAAAAATCTCGAAATAATCCCATCTTTTAGGGCTACCTATATATATATATAACAATTAGGGCAAGCTTGGATTGAGGGAGATATATTACTACGGTAATAAAAGTCAAACTAAGCAAAAAGAAAGTGAATATAGGGAGGTGGAGATAGTGCTGGTGTGATTGTAAGGAAATTATGTAGTGAAGGTGTGGTATGAGATGAAGAAAAAGGAACTAATACCCTCATTTTGGGGGTAATAGTTACACTAGGGGGGTGGATAACTATTACCCTCATTATGAGGATAATAATTTCTCCATCTCTCTCTTTTCCTCATGGCATAATTATCTTATTTCATTTGAAAGCACCTTGTCTCCTACAATAACACATCTAATTACTTATGTTTTTCAAGCTTGACTTTTATTATCCCCTTAACATATTATCCCTTATCCAAGCATGTCCTTAAGCTAAATTATAATTTTTTTTTAAGAAAAACAAAAACCAAGCCACTATCAGCCACCCCGGCCCTCCCCTTCCCTTTTTAGGCCATCAACCCTCTCCCCCATCAAATACACCGCCCGGAGCCTCCTATCCTCGGCGTCAAAGCCTCCCATCCCTGACCTCCCTTTCCCCTACCCTCGCCGGCACCCATCCTTCTTGAAACCCTAACCTCTGACAGAATTTTCCCCTTCCTTCCCCTACCTCAAACAACCCCCGTTATTCATAAATCCTTCACTATTATTTTCTATTTTTTTATCAAACAAATTAAATCATACTTGTTAGCATAGCATTATATATCATCTTTGCATTCTACAATACTTCATAACAATTGATGTCTTTAGTTTCATAATTTCAAAACTTATATGTTGTCATAGAAGGGGTGGTTGGTTTTTTTATTTTAATAAATATTTTAAATTAAGTTTTAATTATTTTATTTTATGATTTTTTTAATGTGACACCAATTAAAATAGGACAATACACGTGTCAAGTTTACCTACAACATACCTTCAAACAAATTAAGGACCGTTTTGTGAAGATAGTCTTAAAAGGTGGTATTATTTTGAGACTTTTAAACGGTGAGAATATTTTGAAAAGACTTGCAAAAGGTGAGATTATTGATGTAAATTTTTCCTTCCTAAAAAATTATATGATATCTACAAAAGATATTATAATTTAACAAATACATAATACATTGAACCAAATAAAGAATTCTTTCATATACTCTTTATAAACTAGGAAAAATGGAAAACATCAATCAATTCTACTCGTAACAATCCCACCTTTAAATAATCTCGTAACAATCTCACCTTTAACAATTCTACTGGTAACAATCCCACCTTTAAATAATCTCGTAACAATCCCACCTTTATACCTTATCTTCTTAAAATAGTCCCTTGACCGATTTGTCAAATTGGTAACCGGTTAAAAAGCGTAACATGCAACATGTCACATTTCAGTTGGTCCTTTTTTATTAGATTAAAAAAACAAAATTAAAAACAATTTTTTTAATAAAAGAAAAGCATTCCCCTTCCGATCCCAATCCCCACCTGTACATCAACCTCCCTCCTCTGTCGGCTACCGGAGCATCCCCTCCCCCCCCCCATTCCCCGATAAACAGCTGTAGACACCCAAATGTGTCTCCCCAAAACCAAACCCAATGATGAATACTTTTCACGTCATTTGATTATCGAAAAAAGTGAAAGTGTTAAAAGTCTAGTAATGTGGATGTTTTTTATTAAAATGTCTCTCATTCTGTTTTCAAAAATGTTTTTTCTTTCAATCTATTTATCAAAATATCCAGTCCAATTTGGTTTGGTCCATGATAAGGGTCCAATAATGTTGTAGTTGGATTGGGCTCGAAAAGAGCTTTCCAACAATATATTATAAGCCTAATTCCGATAAATAAAGAGGAAGTTATGGATTAAATTAGATTTGGCCCAAAATGATTTTACATATGGCCCAATGATATAGAGGAGGGCTTATTAATTATTATTCCTAAAGTTGCTAGGATTGATTTTAATCTTCTAGAAATATCTAGAAAGTTCTTTTTAATTCTAATAAGATTAGGATTGATAATTATATTTTAAAGAGTTTTATTTTGAATAAAATATGTGACTTGTCACAAATGTGATTTTAATCTACTTAACGCGAAATTAGCTGCTTAACCGTATTAAGAAGATAATTTCTTGTACAAAGCGCGTTTTAATTCTGACTTAGCGTAAGACGACAAAGTTGTCGCCTGGCGCTAACAGCTGTCGCCTGGCGCTGCTCCTGTCATTTGACGCTAACTCCTGTCGTTGGCGACATGAGATATTTTATTTCGAATATGACTTGATTTGTTTCCGAGTAATTTTTTCTAAAAATAGGGGTTGTATCTCCCCGTTTTTCATCATTCACAACCATCATTTCTCTCTATTTTCTCTCTCTAAAAGCTAGAAACTTTCTCTCTCTCTATTCTTTTTCTAAACCTTCCCTCTCACAAAATTCCTCATACATTAGTTTTAGACACAACTATCCAAGTTCGAAGTTGCCTTCGCCCTAAACGTGAAAGGTTGATAATTTCTGAGGGTTTGGTCCCAAATCTCTATTTCAATTATTTAGTTTAATTGTTTATTATTTTCCTTGAAACTACTAACACGTGTGTTTTGTTATTAGTAAGAGATACGAGACATCCAAGTAAGTTGTTTTAATTATTATTTTGATATAGAAATAGTGCTTAGATTATTTTGTTGATTCCTAGTATCATGTTAAGATGTTTTATTGCTTCCTAGTATCATGTTTAAGATTAACTAATATTTCTGATATTATTATGATGCTTCCTGTTTCTTTTCTAATACCATGTTAGTATCATGTTAGGGCTAAAGCTTTAATCTTTATTATTTAGTGACATGCTAGGGTTTGTTATTAATCTTGTTCGTATCATGCCTAGGATCTTGCTATTATTATTATGCTTTGAGATTGAGATTATTATGATGATGATTGTTATTATTATGTTGCTTGATATTATTTATTATTTTTGCTTGATCACGCATTTTATGAATGTTTAAAGGGAATTTGTACTTGTAATCACGCTTAATAAGATAATTAATAATCTTGTTTAGGTTAATATGATTATAATTCAAGTGATCGCCAATAATAGATTTGTTTGTGGATTAATATTCAACCAACATAGATTAAACAGGTTTAGGGTAAACCTATTGATTGTATATTAGTCAGAAAGCGCACATGGATACGAGAAGAATAAAGTAGAGATCGACCTATTTTTAGGCAGGTTCAATCTCTTTTAGGTTGGATTTGTACCTTCATCCCCGAACTTCCAATCATGGTTCCAGACCTATTGGAGTTAAGGATCTAATGGATCGTTAAGGGGTGTAACCTTCACCCTATGAACGGTTTACAGGTTCCTAAAGCTTGTTGGCGACTCTTTTACTCTAACTCCCTTCCCTTTGGACGCCACCATGCTTAAGTGTATGATCACAGTGGGGCTCAAGTGTGGGATGCTTGAAATATTCCCTACAACAGCAAACACTCTCCCTTTCCCCACAATAGAGATGGCTGGTGAAGGTGGTTTTCGATTTTCAAAGTGGCTTAAGGTGGGTTTTACTCTTTTACCGTTGTGCGCAACAATTAGGTGGACTTTAGTTAGATGCGGTGGGTTTCGAAAATAGGGTGGGAGTTTACGATCTGATGCGTTGGGTTCTAGTGGGGTGAGGTTTTGGTTTGGCGGCATGAGAATCAGGTGGGGAGGGAAGAAATTTCGGGTATGAATGATATTTCGGTGGAGGTGGTTGCTGCTGGCTGCGTAAGGGTTTCGGGTTGAGTTTCCGATTTGGTTTTGTTTAGTAGGGGTCACTATTTCAGTTTGGTTCAGTAGAGGTTCAATTTGAACCTCTAGTGAATTAGGAATCTCGGGATGGAGCCATGGTTGGGGTGGAGGCAAGTGAGGCTGTAATGTGGTGGTGATCATGAAGGTAAGGTGGTGGTCATGGTGGGTTGACCATGGTAGAAGATGGTGAGGTGTGAAGAGAGAGAATAAAGAATAAAATTACTTTTTAAAAAATTACTAGCTCAATAGGTTTTAGGTAAAATGGCTTGTTTAGAGAAAATGGTGCTAAAAAGTGTGATTATTTCCAAATTAGTCAGAGGTGAGATTGTTTTGAACCCAAATGTTAAAGGTTGTATTATTCTTTTCCATTTTTCGTATAAACTATGTCGTTGAGTAGATCTTACGTTATGTAACATGGATCTTCGCTTACATTATTGTTGAAATATACAACCTTTTTGTTGAGACAATCTAATGATTTGTTGTAGCTTTGATGATTATTTTTATTAGATTCATTTGACTGCATTCGAAAAATTGATAAAATTTGGGATCCCACATAATTCGCCAAAATAATTTCAGATGTGGTTCAAGCCTGTAAGTGAATACTAAAACATCAGTGAGTAGTATTAATCATACAATACTATCCATGATAAGTAAATAAGAAAGGGACTTATTTATCAAATAAAGCTACCCTAAAAAAAGGTAGCAAAACTACGGAAGATAATCAATCCTTCTATTAACAACATATGTCTAAAATCACTCTTTAAAACGGTTATTTAGGCTTTGTTCTTTATAGTTGCTCTAC